AGATGCCCTTTTTGCTCAAAGTAGAAAGTCAAAAGCCGGCAACAGGAAAATGAAAAATGGATGGCAGGAGAGTGCTGCAGAAAAGAGAGCGCTCCAAACCCCCCGAAATCCTGGCAGCAACACCCACATGCTTCCAGATGTCACACCACAAACTTCTAAACTGTATGTTATTAACAGATGTCATGAGTCCAAGAAAAAGTGTGAAAGAGACATAATGTGTAATATTAAAATCTGCTTTTTCTTACCAGTCTTACCAGGCAGTTGCATCTCCATACTGAAAGTGAATTGGAGCATGATTTCTAAACAGATACACTGGATAGTTTTTCTGTATGCCCCCCCCCTTCTTAAAAACATATAAATAACATAATCCTTCTTTTCTAAAGCAAATGTGAAATACCCATTTTAAAAGAAGCATTAATGACAGACCTGCGTGATCCCTTATTAGTTTTCAAATGTAATTATTATTTATTTATCTATTTTACATTTGTTGTTGTAAAAAGCTTTGTACGGGACTGACGAAGTAGGTCATTCAATTGAACACACACACAGACAAGGATGAAAGAAAATCTCAATATAAAAGCTGAGGTGATTTATGTCATGCCCCGCCTTGTTCCATCCAAGCCAAAGTGCTCGGCCCCTCGGCTTGGCAACGTGTGTCAGCCTACATTAGGTGGACCAGTGAACAATGGTCTCAGCCAGGAGCAGGTGGTGGTTACTTGAAACTCTGAGAGGAGGGTGTGCATTAGTGGCAGTGTGTGTGCGCACATGTGTGTGTGACAGAAAGAGAGAGAGACTGGTCTATCTGCCATCTGGAGCACCGGGACAATCCCAGGTGAGGCGGAAACTTGAATGTGCTGTTTCTGTCAGTTCACTGACTGGCCTCTCTCCTGGATCCAAACACTTTTTCAGAGAAGACCCAGTGTTTCCTTGCTATACCTCTAGTGATGGCACACACCAATTCTGAGAGTGTGAAATGAGCCATTACAAGGTGTGCAGCACCCACCTCTTAAGGTGGATTGACCCAAAATGAGATCAGCAGGCCAAGTCAAGTTTATTTATAGAGCGTTGTCCACAAACAGATTAAAATCTTTTACGGAAAACAAGGGACAACATAGCAGCTGTGTGCGTGTACATGCATAAGACAGTGTGTTTATATGAGAGGGCAAAACATTATCTGAGTTTCTACAAGATACCAGCCTGCAGAAGAAGGAAATGAATGACAGCTGAAAATCGAGGCAGGTTATGAGTAATGCAAAATAAAATAATCTGCTTCCCAATATACATTTTAGCCCACGTCATCATTTTCAAATCAGTGTGAGTCAAACTTTTGCATTTTGATAGTCCTCAAGTGAACTGAAAAAGTTCCTCGCTGTATATATTGTCTTTGTTGTCTGGTGGGGGGACACTCCCTGCTAAGCAGCTTTACTTGTGTGATTGAATTGACATTGGGTTGTCATTAGCATAGGTAGGCAATTTCAAAGAAGCAATGTTAATTTTATAAATAATGCATAGGGTGTTTTTTGAAGCCATCTTATAATCAAGCTAAAGACGCAATCCAAGAGAGAGACCCCGTGCCTTTGCCCCAGAAATATGACATGTAAGATTAGACATACTGTGATACAGTATGAGACTGCCAAATACATTTAATTACATAATACATTTGATAGATTTGTAACTGATTCCACTTTTCAATCAGACAAGTCACACTTTGCCAACATTTTTACAAACAACACCTTATTAATTCATGAAACCAGTGATTGCAGAACTTCTGATGTCCCTCCGGAGATTTGCTTTTGATGCCTGACATCCATTTATATGTACAGTAATTACATAGTTCAAAGCAGTTTGGTGGGCTCTTCTACTGTATGCTATTTGATTATATTCTCATATATGCTCATTATAGTCGTCCTCTTATGTTCTAGTAGCATCATAAAGCAGATTGTAGTCCCTCTTCTCAACCACGATTCATCAACTTTCTTAAAGGGACAGTTCACCCCAAATCAAAAACACATATTTTTTCCTCTTACCTGTAGTGCTATTTCTCAATCTGGATTGTTTTGGTGTGAATTGATGGGTGTTCATTGAGATATCTGCCTTCCCTCGAATATAATGAAACTAAATGGCACATGGCTTGTGGTGAAATACATTTAAAAAACTCAACAGTAATGTCACTTTCCAAAAATCATGACCAGGTTATTCAAGATAATCCACAGACCTTTTTTTGAGCAGTTTTATGTAGGACCTATTTTCTTTCTACCAAACTACATTTGCCAACTGTATCACAGCACAGAAGGAAACATGCATCTACTGCTAGCTCACCTAGCACCACTAAACTAGCTAACAATACAGCTCAGTCGAGGTTTACACCATAAATGTCCACATCTAGTGCAATCAAAACCACAACTCTCATCCATGAGTAGATACACGCTTCTGTCTGTGCAGTGATAGGGTTGACAGGTGTAGTTTGAAAGACACTAGTTCCTACATGAAACTGCACACAACAAGGTCTGTGGATTATTTCAAGTAACCAGGTCACGATATCTGGAAAGAGACATTGCTGCTGAGTTTTTTAAATTGATTTTTTAGGCGCTTAGAGCACCACAAGCTGAGTGCCATCTAGTTCCATTGTAATGGAGAGAATGCAGACATCTTATGGCCAATATCTCCAACATTCAGCAACACACCAAAACAATCTTGACTGATACACGGCGCTACAGCTAAGAGGAAACATATTTTATTATTTTTGATTTTGGGGTGAACTGTCCCTTTAACAGGAATAAATTATTTCCATAAATATGACTGAGTGTTTTTTTTTATGATACAACCCTGATTCATTTCTGTGCTTGTTGCTACAGAAACTGTTGTTAGCAAGTGGTCACCAGGCAGTGTCATTAATGTGAAATACTCCCAGCCACCTGTTCTCAGTTTCTGCACATAATGTGCAGCTGCAGACAGACTGGACATCCAAAACCGAGGCAAACATCACATACCTCAGCCGTGGACTGTACACCTTTCTGCCTCCACTGCTGTCTTACCTGTTCCTTCTCTATTTCAGTCTTAACAGCTTTTTCCAAAGGGCTGTAGACCGCTTCCACCCCCCCTGTCCCCTACACCTATACACCGCCTTGTCCCATCATATCCCACCTCACCTCTCCACCCCTCTGATTGTCCTCCGCAAGACAATCTTCAAAGCTCAGGCAGTTGTCAACCTTAATACTTCACAGCCCTCTAACCTGGATCATCACTATCAACGGAGCAGCAAGCGATGAAACCTAAGTTCATGTGGAAGGACAGCTCACACCCAGAAGCACGTTTGCATGCTCTTTCTCTGTTTTGAATTCTGAGCCCATTCTACCTGTACACTGCAAAAAATGATCACCTACTCTCCCAGCTTGTTCCCTGGTGTCGCCGACAGTAATAAAGTCCATTTAAGGTCCTGGAATTCATAGGCATAGATTTCAAGGGAGATGCAGGGGACATGTCGTCCTCAATCTTAAGAACGTGTGCATTTGTTCCCCCCAATAAAAACAACAAGTAGCAGAGGACTTTTATTTTGATAAATTAAAGACGCCCAGAAGAACAAATTGGTGTGTAAAAATTCACCAGAATGCAACAAATAAAGTGGATGACACTTAAATTTCCCTGGGAGAGGACCTCCAAACCCTGTGTTTCATATTTGCCCAACCAATGTTAAAACAAAACCCTCATCCTCACTCGAAGCAATACACTTCACACCATATATCTCACACACTGAAGTCAAGAATCACCTTCAGATAGCTGAAGCATTTTTGTCCACAAATTTTGCAGTGGCTGAGTCAGATGAGTGACAGCAGGTTTCTACGTAGCCTTCCACAATTTGTTTGTCTTCGCCAAAACTCTTGCTCTTGCAGTTTTACAGCATCCAAATTATTTATGATAAATGTAGTGTATTTATTTTGCTTTAGATGAGGTATTTGCACGACTCGTTTCAGCTTCTCACTTCTCGAGAGACTTTATTTTGGCATGTATGTTTGTGTGCATAAGTGTGTTAGTGTCTATTTGTGAAGCAGTATATTTATACGTTTTACATTCCTTTATTTTTATTGTAAAAACAGATAAAAGTAAAATAAAACAAGTTATTCAGATGCGGGGAAAGATATGATACGATACCATATGATACGATTGGATACGATACAATACAATAAAACAGAACTTTCTTCATCCTCAGGGAATTTGCTGTGCTGTAATTGTGGTACAAACTAGGAAAGAGTGCAGATATAAAGAATTAGCAAGTACAAGATATTAATAAATTGTCCCATTTTCCCAAGAACAGTTCAATTTAGGACTTTTCCATGTATTTGTGTCATTATATTGATTAAGCTTTTGGCTTTTTCATGGAAAGAGAGCATGGACTCACTCCACTGGCCTTTTTTTCTGTTCAGACTCTTCCTGGTGTTTTGAAACATTGAGTCTAAAAACCAGTTGAAATTGATATTTTTTGCAGTGTGTCTCACGCGCTTACCCCTCTCCTGTTCCCCACCCCCCACTTCGATTCGTGATTGGTTCGCCTTCCATGTCCGTCAAAGCTGTGTGGGCGGGACTCAAACAATCCACTCGTGCTCCCTGCGCTGTGGATTGTGCGCCACAGCAGACCAAGAGCGGGGCAGGCAGAAGTACAGCAGCGGCAGCATCTACTGTGTGACCGGAGGACGAGTGCTCTCACTCCCTGTGGTTTACTGCTGTTGTTCAGAGTCCCGTGAACTGAGCCTGCACCTTACCGCTGGTGCATCACTGAAATTCTTTTTTTGAGCAGCGAAAACATTTTATCTAAAACAACACAGTCTCCGGGTCGCGAAGTCGGTTGTGTCAACCCCTTTTCCCCGAGACGCACAAAAGACGCACTCCCAAGTCCACCTGGATAGCTGCTGACAAAGCCGTCCGGTCCGCTTCGAGCTCCAGTGGAGAGAGACGGTGAGGAGAAGTTAGCGCGGAAGGCAAGAGCAAGAAACACAGAAGGCAGGATGAATCTCAAGAGTCATTTGATTTTCACCCTCTACACTATTTATGGGATTCTTCTGAAAGGTGAGTCTGGGACGAGTGGTGCGTACGTGTTGTTGTTTTTTTTTTTTTTTTTTTGCGTGTACGTGCTTTATGTGTGTGTGTGTGTGTGTGTACGCGCGCATGTTACAGGCCAGCAGCAGGGCAGGATGAAGGAGCAGGACGCGGGTCCTGGCAGAAAGATGCGGAGCTCTCTCTCACACAGGGTTTTTCATTCTCAAGTGCAGTGTGCGTCTGTGCCTGCGCGCGTGTGTACGTGCGTTGAATGTACGTGCGTATGCAAACGTGCGTGATGTGAGACAGAGGAGAGGGAGAGAGGGAGCTTGTCCTGTAACATTGGGGATCTCTTGGATGGTAATGTTCAGGAATGAGGGGGATCCTTTTTTCTTAATTGTGTGCTCAGGACGCGACTTGAGCGCTGGCTTTGCAGCCATACACACTGGTGCGTCTCCTGCGTCTGCGATGTGTTATGCCCCGTGCATGAGTGGCAATGAAAAGAAAAAAAAAAACGAGCCCGCTAGGGAGACACACCTCAACATGAAGTAACCAGCCCCGCGGTTGTTTCTGACTTGCAGTACTTGGATGAGTCACGGAGACACTGGCAGCGTTTTACGCACGTTTGATGCTGCTGATTACGGCAGCGTTAGAGACTCACAGTCATGCAGAGCATTTTGATTCCAGAAAATCTGTTTTTGTTTTGTTCTCTGTTACGATTTTGACTTATGGTTCTTCTGCGCAGGTGTGGTGTCTGTGGCTAGTGCGCACAGTCAGCTCCGGTGTGTTGTATGCCTGCATGAGGTTTAAAGGAAGGCTGTTGTCAATAACCTCAGACGAGTTGTGGGAACAGGTGTACAGGCCTGATGGAAATGACTCCGTTTATCTTTTAATTCTGAAAAGTTTATTTCCCGGTATTGTAGATGATTATATTAAGATCATTCTTCCTCCTATATGGCACCAGAAATTTCTGAGCTTTTACCCTCTATGATGAAAACCATCTTGGCTGACCTCAATTAAATATAAATATTATTCTGATCTCGATACTGTTTGTGATAATTACACAGTGAACAGCTCTCAGGGGTGTTTACACCACAGAGGACTGAATGTAAAGATGAGAGGAGTTAAGGTGACATTGGGGGTCAAGGTCACAGTGGATTGCGCACCCCTGTTTCTAAATGGTAAATGGCAAAGAGACTATCTGCATTTATATAGCGCTTTTCTGCTGTTATAATTTGCCTCCCATTTACCATTCACAAACCCATTCATACACCAATGGTGGCGGAGCTGCCATGCAGGTGCTGGCTTGCCCATCAAGAGCAACTTTGTAAGACATGCACTCAAATAGACCTTGAATACAATAACATAAAATGAAAATGAAAGAAGAAAAAGCTTTTGCTGAAACTGCAACCATATTAATCTTTTTAGGTTTCTTTTATGCTCATATTTCTAACCGCTTAGTGTCTTAAACAGCTAAATGGGCAAGTAACAACAGATTAGAGGATTGTGGAAATTAAATCTGGGGCTACAATCGTTTGATGATTATATGATCAGTGAATGCAACTATGATTTATCATACCTCAAGCGAGAATCTGACTATTAGAAAACTTGGTGCCAACATCAGGCTCATATTTTGATGATTGCATACCACAATTTGTGCACTGTTGAATCATTTTTCTCTCAGAATACTTCCACTTTTAACAAACCTGATAGAAAGTCGCAAGAGTACAACCCAGTGGTGCTGTGTGTGGTAATTTCTCAGTACATTTTAAACACAGGGTAGAAAATAATGTCAAGTACTGGATGGCATTCAAGCCTCAAGGCAGTTAATCAACAAACATATAACAATTTTCCTGTTTATGTGAGAATTTAAGACGCTTTTTCTTGAGTTTCTGGACTGGTACATTCATGCTGTGTACAACAATGGCAGGAGGGTGGTAGATTTACTCCGAAACAACTGTCAGTCTAACAGCAGGGCCGCATATGCCACGCAGAGCTTTGGTTTTGTGATGTAAAGTCCACTTTATTCCCCTCAAATCATATCAAGATATATTTAAGGCGTTTGATAACACATTTATTAACATGAAAGTCTTGGCTTTAAGTGCCGTTTTCCACACGAGTACATGAAAAATCCCAAATGAGAGATGATTTGTGCTTGATTCCCCTGATCATTTGTTGTTGTCTCTTTGAGGTGTGTGTGCATATGAGACAGAGTGAGTGAAGGCAGTCCTTCCTTAATAACCTGACATGATTAACGCCATTCTTGACTTAAGGAATTGGTATGTAATTAGGTATCTTAGGGTATCTGGTATATCTGACAGCTCACACTGCAGCATTTATTGATGTTCCAGGGCCTTTCTTTTTCCTCTCTATTCTCCTTAGGGCAGCACACTCATTATGTGAGTGTGTGTGTTCTTGTGTGTGTGCGTGTGTTTGCATATATCCCTGCAAAAGTGTGCCATGTTTGTATAGCTTATGTCAGAAGAGAGGTCTAAGCAAAGACATAATCGTGCCTGTAGCAGCAGAGTGCACGTCAGGGCTCATTTTTATGTGTGGCTCCCCACCACACACCCTCACATCAGTCTCTTACTCTCGCTTCCTCTCTCTGCCTAACCCTGAAGAGGATAATGCTAGGCTGCTTGATTTGAACAGTCATCTCGCGGTGCAAGACCTATTATTGTATAGGTTCCACACAGCGGGCGGGTCAGCCTCCTCCTGAATGAAGTCTATCTAGCCCAAGCCATATCCGCGCTCTGTAAATGACAGCTGTTTCAGCCCCTCTGGCCCGGTGCCAGCTGGCATCAAGAGATCCAGACACACCGAATCTCTGTCATCGACTAGACCTGCGCCGTATATAGTGTGAACGTGAAGTGTTGTGATGGAGGTTGTTGTTTACCAACAGCCCGAGTTGTTAACATATTATCCAGTGTGTCTCATGTGCCCAATGCCGGAGCCAGAGAAAACAGCCTGTTATGCAAATGGACCTCTTACGTAAGAGCTCGGGGCTGAGCGGCAGGCGAGGGGAGATAGAGGCAAGAGAGCGACAGAGAAAGAGGGAGATGTTCTAGAATAGAGGAGTTGGAGTGATGTGGGAGGAGAGGTGTGGAGGAGGAATGTGCAATCTCCTCAGCGAAAGTGTGCGATATGTGCACTAGCAGTTGTTTGCCATTTGGATGGCTGTTTATCTCCGCTGCTCTGTCTGTTTCCTGGTAGTCTGTCTGTTTTTGAACTCTGATCTTGCTAGCCTAAATACAAACCCCCCTGCTGAGGGATGTGTTTATCCCCGCAGTGAGTCTAAGCCGCTGAAGGCTGACCCTCCGTCCCTCTGTACTTCCGTCCATTCCTCCCTCACTTCATCCTCCCATCCTGGTGTGGAGCTTTGTACCACAGCAGCGTGGGAAAGCTTCTGATAACAAGCGGCCCTGTGTGTGTGTTTGCAGAGCCACTGATTACACGGGAGAAACGAGATGTTCTCTCTTTTCTTGCCTGCTTGCACCCACCCTACCACTTCTGTGTGTTTGCGAGCGTGTTCATTTTCATGGACATGCTTTGACGGGTGGAACATGTGAGGTGCTCTGTAGCTTATACCGATGCCATGAAGCTTCAATGCAGAGAATCCTCAGTAGGGCAGCGCTGGCTCGATGTGCATCACACAGACACACACACGGAGCTCCACTGTGGATTCATTGCTGCTCTGCCAAGGGATTTCCCATGATCAAAGCCAGTCTTTTGTTAGTCCAGGTGTTAAAAAAAGTTAAAACAGAGAGGAGGAGGAGGCTGGAGGGGAACGTGGTGGGATTCAGAGCTTACAAGCTCTTCATGGCAGAGCAGAAATGTGCTTCACCAGAACTGCTCCAGAAACACTGCCAGTGAACCTACCAACTGTTCCAACTCTTTCTCATATCAGTAAACATTTGGGGCAGGTTTTTTCCTTGGGAATGCACAGCCGTGACAAGTTAAATACAGACGCTCTTACAGTGTGTTTAGACATAGAGATAAAATGAGGCAAGAAGAGGCAGGAGGCCAGTCATTGTTAAGCTTAATACACATGTAGTAGCAGATGGTAGGAGATTCAGAAGTGGCAATAACCGAACCTAGCAAGACACCATGAAAGTGAAAAGTTTTAAGCTTCATGCAAATGTACTCCCAGCTTAGCTCCCAAACTAGCCTTTTGTAATCCATGAGGCTTTTATGAGCCTACACCAAATGACACAGCATACCAGACAGATCAGGCAGCATTGTTTTACTACACCAGTCTAGTAGTATTAGATATGGAAAGGTGAGGAAGATTTTAACAAGCAAATATTTCCTTCAGAAACACAACAGCAGTAAATAGAGATGGGCATAGGATTTTGTTGATGCTGATATCGATACTGATATTTGTATTCATACTGCTCTCAATAATTTGGTACAAAAGGTAAAGACATGACATGAAAAGATGTAAAAGATTCAACAGTTGTATATAATGAGGGAGGAGCTATTGCTACAAATGTCTGGTGGAGATATGCCGTAATGCTGCTTCATTACCAGAAGATAAACTTAGAAACTGCCATAGAGCTGAGGTCCTTGAGTTTCTCAGAAGTGAACAAAAAAAGATGACAAAGCCTTGTCAGCCATGACTGGCGAGCACAGACTCTAAACATGCAGTTATGCAATGTCACATGTAATCACCTGACGCAGCAGCTTTGTCATCATTAGGGGAAGGTTAGAAATTTGAAAATGCCAGCTATCTAAGAATGAATAAATGATACATATATCAATGGCAGCAGAGTTTTTCCAGGAGCTTATGTATATTTTGCAACTGACCAGTCAGGAACCTGTACAAATTTAGTGCCAGTTCTCAATACCCATCCCGAGCAGTAAATGAACTAACTTGTCAAGCACCAGTAATGTATTATCATAGGCCTGGTCCTCTTTGCCATAGTGGCAACCTCAGAAAACACCTGCCAAATCTGAGCACTATGTTGAAATTATTGTATGTGCTCACTGCTAAATATTCCCCAAAGCTACAGATTCAGAGAGGCCAGATT